CACCTCCTCAAATGCAACCATAGAATACAGAAAACTCTCTGCACAGGAAATCTGATAGTGGAACACCGCAAAAACTGCCAATAAACTCAGAAAACAAGCATATAAATAAACTTAGCTAGATGACACACAAGAAAGGAAAGATGAAGAGAATGGAAGGAGGTGAAAGGGGCTAGCGGCATTGCCGACATCTCCAAAAATTGCTCGATCCGGGCGGGAGATATGAAAGGAAAGTTGTTTGACCTGAGTGGGTGACATGAAAGGAAAGCCGCAAGTGCACCTTAAAAGCCGCTCTATTCCTGTTGGTCCATCTGCCAGCTGGTTGAACCAGCTAGCTTTCCCTCAGCCTCGCATTAGTCTTCTAGGGTTGAGGGAGCTTTGATTTGATTTGCTTCTTCTATTACTCATAATCAACTGAGTGTAGCTAAGGAACTAGTATGGGAAGAGAAATCAATTCTAGGGTAAAATTTGTGGCAGGCTGCACCCCTCTCACTAGGACCCCCTCAGGAGAGACTTCTTCTTCACTGATAGTACCTGGATCTTATTGAAGAATCTTCATCCCCATCAAGCTCCTAGGCCCATAACAAAGGTGGGATTCACCCCTTCTGTCAGGACATCTGACGATGAGTACCTTGCTGCACTGAAAATAACCTCTGAATAATCCCTGTTAATATTCCCGACCAACACAAAATGACCCCAATTTTGGCATGTTGGACCTTCCTTTGTAATGGTAACTCAGGAAGGGGTCTATACATCTGAAAAAGTTGCAATGCTTTTTTGATATGTGGTGGCCCTGTATCTATGGTTGGCTCCTTAAACGCATTCCCTTTTTGAACATCCTAGGTCAGTCCTATTGATGTTCCTCTGAACGCCTGCAAAACAGTAGCTCGAGGTACCACTACTTTACATTCTGCATGAATGCCCCTTACATCAAGGTCACTACCTTCCAAAATGACCATTGTTACCTTAGTTGAAATCTCTATCTCAGGTTCAATTGGAATTGGTTCTCTATTTCTGGTTGGCTGATAATCGAGGATCTCTTTTCTTGGATCACCGTTTATTTCTTCAATTGATAGCCGATTCTCCTTTTTTATGTTCTCACTGTCTTCAGCGTTTGCGGCATATTTACCCAACTTTTTTATGACGCCTTTTAGGTGAAGTAGATCACTTCCCATGGTTGTGCATTTTGCTTCAACATGTCCAAAGCTGTGACATTTGTAATGATTTCTTGCTGTGATAGACTTACGAATTGGTTCCACTATATAGTAGCAAGGGGGGTCGCTTGGTGATGCGTTCTCTCCACTTCGGAAGCTAGAGTCTGCAACTTCTGGCAGTAGTGAGCTGGTAGGAACTGACATTGTGTTTCTTGCTTCATCTTCATATCTTCTCGTTCTTTCTTTTGACCTTTCGGATCATGATTGAGGATAACCTCCCATTGGATTTCATCTTCAATGTTGTAAGTCACCGCTGAAGTCGGCGGATCACTCACTCTTCCAGGAAGACTCAGGTATGTACCTTGCTGGTGGCATGGCTAGGGTTTAGGGTTGGGAGGTGAAAGAGGGTGTATGAGACTCGTTAACAGTGTAGAAAATATAAATTGTGGTTGCTGATTTTTAAAATCAGCAAGGGGTTAATTAGGGTTAGGTCAAATTCTTGCTGGAGGTTTGGAAATCAGAAAGAAAAAATTTTGGTGGAGATGGTTGGGGTTGAGGCGGATGCTAGGAAACCCTAGGATGAGATTAGAGTTGGCCTAGCTTTGATATCAAATGATGCCGGACCGAGTAAGAAAACAGGTGGAACACAATTTTTTTTTATTAATATAGAGATAGGGTTACACACAACACAATAGAAAATAAAAACACAAAACATGAATGACACAAACAAATACCTCTAAGGTGTATTACAAGGGTAGTGGAGGTCGTCTAGGTGGGTCTGGATGGTTGACAGGGGTGGTGGAAGCAAAGGAATGTTTAAGGCTTGGGAGACATCTGAGGAGTTGAACAACAAAAGCAAGCCGTTGGGGGAAGGGTGACTGGGTGTGGGGATGAATGATGGGGAGGCCGGTGGTTGCTGGATGGGGGAGGAGAGGGAGTAGGAATGGTAAAAGGGAAGGATACTATTCCACCTTGGAGGAGAATACAACCGGAGCACAACCACCTCCCAGATACAACCCTAGAACAGAAAAAAGTTTACACACAAGAAATTTGAAAGTAGAACAAGCATATAAAATTAGAAAACAAGCAAAAGCTGCCAATAAACTCAGAAAACAAGCATATAAATAGACTTAGCTAGGTGGGACACCAGAAAGGAAAGATGACCAGAAAGGAAGGGGGAGAAAGGGGCTGGCGGCATTGCTGCCCTTTCCAAAAGCTGCTCGATTCGGGCGGGTGACATGAAGGGAAAGCCACTTTCGAAAAGCTGTTCGATCCAGGTGGGAGACATGAAAGGAAAGCAGCAAGTGCCACCCTAAATGCTGCTCGATTCTTTTGGAATCCTGGACATGTTATGCAGCAGGCTTTGTTGCATAATAGCGGTGACCGGGGTTGGGATGAAGGCTGAGGAGGGAAAAAACAATGCTGGACTATAGTGATAGAGCGATTTAAGGCTTGGGAGACATCTGAGGAGCTGAACAACAAAAGCAAGCCGTTGGGGGAAGGGTGACTGGGTGCGGGGATGAATGATGGGGAGGCCGGTGGTTGCTGGAGGGGGGAGGAGAGGGAGTAGGAATGGTAAAAGGGAAGGATACTATTCCACCTTGGAGGAGAATACAACCGGAGCACAACCACCTCCCAGATACAACCCTAGAACAGAAAAAAGTTTCCATGCAAGAAATCTGAAAGTAGAACAAGCATATAAAATTAGAAAACAAGCAAAAGCTGCCAATACACTCAGAAAATAAGCATATAAATAGACTTAGCTAGGTGGGACACCAGAAAGGAAAGATGACGAGAAAGGAAGGGAGAGAAAGGGGCTGGCGGCATTGCTGCCCTTTCCAAAAGCTGCTCGATTCGGGCGGGTGACATGAAAGGAAAGCCACTTTTGAAAAGCTGTTCGATCCAGGTGGGAGACATGAAAGGAAAGCAGCAAGTGCCAACCTAAATGCTGCTCGATTCTTTTGGAATCCTGGACAAAAGAATTATGCTGTTCGATTCTATCTTTATTTCTCCACAAGTTACGATATTTTTATGCATTATGCTGTTCGGCCCGCTAGCTTTCCCTCAGCCCAATGTTAGTGGGGCACCAACAATGCTCTTCCAATTTTCTGACTTATTAGTGCTATGGAAAAACACATTGGATATCTGTACATAACAACGTTGCTCCTGCAATGGATGAGAAAATCAATATGGTGTTCGCTGATCTAACTTTTTTTACAATTATCTGAATTACATGATTATGCCAAAGAACTCAAGCAAGGAAGTATGAATGTCACCAAATAATTCACCACTTAAACAATATTGACAAGAACTTGACATTTTCAAGCTACATGAGTGCTGTAGAGAGCATGCATTAAAATATCGTAACTTGTGGAGAAAATAAAAAATTATGACTTCCTAGTTATCCTCAACAAGGAGGTTAACGAAGTTTATGAAAGAAATCTTTGAATTCATTCATTATCCAAATAAAAAGAAGTATTTACTGAAGTTTGATGATAAGAAAGCATACGGAGAATTATGCTAGATGCCGCCAAGAACCCTCTCAACATTGTAGGTTTGGCTCTTGCTATCATGAGTTTGGAAACAAATCAAGGAATTAACTCAATGCACGGAAAATGAGGCAATCTCTAGTTTGATGTTTGCAAAAAGATTTATCACATATGGGAAAATTGTTGGAAACTTCTCAGCAGGTTATTTAATTGGAATGTTTGTGAATATAATAGCAATGATGCTCAAACCTATTAAATCAAAATTGAGATGCTATACTTAAATTTGTGACATAATTGGTAACGTTTTCTTGAACAAGGAGCAATCGGACCTTCTATAAAGATTGCTTGCTCCTGAAGAGCCTTTCAGCTCCTCTAATGGCCTAGAAAGGTAGCTTTCTTTTGGCCCTTGTACTAAGAGAGATTAGGAATCCTGGATCATCAACTCAAGTGCTTCATATCATATAACAAGTTGTATTCACTTATTCTCATCTTTTATTCCCTTATCTAGAAACCTCAAAGACAAAATCAACGATGTATCTTTATCTCTTACTGTTGGGATAGGAACCATCTTAATTAACTTTGGGCTGCTCCTAAATTCAGCATCGTATGTTTCAAATATCACCTTTTAATTTTTTTATTTGCAAGCAAAATATTTATAGGTGAAGATTGTAGAATTGTTTTCTCACATAAACCTTGTGACTTTTTGGACTGGAGCTCAGTGAAGAGGATTGACAATGCTAGTTTGGAGTGCTATGCTACTTTGATGATGAATCCAAAGAAAGCAAATTATATATAGCTATAAACTATGATTCTTTTCATCTTACTAGGAAAGTGTATATTCTATTGGGGCATCATTTGTTTGGTCTCTCAGTATCTATATCTTAAGAACCTGGTTCCTTTTTTGTTTGAAGTGAAAAATTCTTTCAATGTGAATTTTGTTTACTCACCGGACACCAAGGAACAACTACCTTTAAGCATATAGACAATATAAAGAAACCTAAATTATATCTTGAATCCGTACATTTAAAGATGTTGGACTTAAACCAACAAAAAATATTGGGGTTAACCCTTTCCCGAGTCCCAACTCTGCATCTCAGTGCTTCTAATCACAAAAGGATATACCTACTTGCTGACAAGATTAATGGGGGCTTTCTGATTACATATTGCTTGACAGGGGTATCTTGCTTGACAATTAATGTCTAGTATGTATAGTTTTTGTGCTGGAAAACTTATAAAAATATTTGGTATGATCCATTTGAGGGCTTTTACTTCTCTGTTTACATTGTCGACAATATCTCTTTTTGTATCATCTATATTTTCTTTTTAAATTTTATTTGGACCTCTTTTCGCATTTTTGTAGGGACCGATGCCAATGGACTTGTATCTGGAGTGCCGGTTTCTGTAGAAACAGGGAAAAAGGCACTTTTACTTTTGAAAGGAAAAGAACGTGAAGGTTCTCATGTAAGCAAATGTCAATGTTTGTCTTCTTGATTTATATCAATGAAATTATTTTTCTCTTAATGTACTTGCGTTTATTAGCAAATTGTTTGACATTGATTTGCTAATTATAGCCACATACTGCTTTTAAAATCATTAATCAGAAACTCACTCGGGCTCTGTTTATCTTAACAGATTCAGCGGCTTGCAGTGCCTGGAAGAATTATTAAAAGTATATTATCTAAGGAAGGGCATCAGGTGTCAGCATCTCAACCAGACCATCAGATGATTACAAGTAACATAGAGAACGATATTCGCCCTCGCCGGCCACCTATCCTGCACCCAAATTCAAAGGAACAAGCTTCTGGTGCACCACACAAATCTGCTTCTGATGCTGATTTAAAATCAGATAAAGTTGATAAGGATGCTTCAAGCGAATTGCCTACTTCTGTATCTATTAGTGATAATAAGTTTGAAAAGCGCATGAGAAATAAAGATAGACCTGATCGTGGGGTATGGGCGCCCCTTCATCGCTCTGATGCTTTTGATGGTAGTGCAAGACTTTTCTCTCATATTTCATTCTTCACGGTCTTCAAATGAATTTGAAACATCACTGAAAAAATATTGGTCTTGTGAATGTAGGACATGGAGGCACTAATTTGCTCCCAAACAATGAAATAAGGGCGGGCCATAGAAACAATAAATTTGATGCTCCAAGTTTAAATAGAAGTTCAGAATCTAAGAGCTTTGGAGGTAGCCGAGGGCATCATGCTTCTTTGGACAATGGTTGGTTCTCACCATATCCATGAACTATCTTTTTATTGATTTACCATGTTTATTCTGCATTCTCTTACTTTCACAGTAAATTTCATGGGAGATATATTACTTCTTTAGGTGCCAATAGGCATTCAGGCCGGCGGGGAATAGTTCATGGTTCAAAAGATTTGGATGTCCCAGCAAGTGCAACGGAGACTAAACTATCAAAAAGAGGCGCTAATCCATACGAAGTGAGTTGATTGCTGTGGAAAGCACAGTATTTAGTGTTATTAAGTGGCTTTATCACCAATAAGATGTGCTAATAGCCTTCTTCTGTTTTTATAGAAACAAGTATGGGTTCAGAAGTCCGGCTCTGCTTCGTGATTCTCCTTTGTCATGTAAGTTTTCTTCAGATTTTATTACTTTCATTTTGTGTCAGTGCAACTGTCAGTTTACGGTGAGATGCATTTCTAGAGTATAAAATTTGATAAAACTCTCTTCATAAATAATCCAAAAATCTGCTTAGCGAATCTTGTTCTATTAGTTATCTCCTGTAGCAGTGAAATGTTGCAAGTTCCATAATTCCTCAGATTCCCAAATAGGTGCTATTTTGTTAGTCTTCCGTTAACAGTTTTTATTCTCTTAAACACTGCAGGTTGAATTTTCTGTCACATGAATTTAAGCTCCTATTTTAGTGGTTGGTATTATAATTATTCAGTTACGTGCATCTAAGTGATATTGTATTTTTTAGTTACATGCTTAATGTTTAAGTGTTCAAAGTTGAATAGTATGAGCTTTTCTTACATAAAATCACAAAACTATAGAATTTGTAATGCTAAGCTTGTAACATTCGACAGAATGTATGAGTAGTTTTCCAGTTGGGTTCTGGGGCCTATTCATTTTGTTTGGACATTGATTTCTGCTCTAAAATCTTAAAGGCTGGTCTTTAACTTTTATCAGAGATGACAAAGACAAAATGATCCCCATCGATCAGTGATTCTTTGGCAGTATGCAAATTGTTAATATCAACTTGTAGAAGCTATCCTTTTTTTTTCAGAAATTTTTTGCTTAAGACAGCCAAGGCTTAGTCTTCCATTTTTTGTTAGGACCCTATCAGAAACTCTAGTCCAAATAGGAACTCCCTCTTGGCAACTATTATACGTTATTATTAGTTACCCGTGCATTATTTATTGAAAACCCTGAAATTATATTTGTTTGCAAATTACGTGGTAGTCACCTTTTAATTCTATAGGAGTGTAAAATGTTGGAAACAGGAAATGTTTAGAAGCCATTTTAAATTTACATATCAGTTTTGTTGGTTGGATTCTATCATGCTCACCCATTAAAGCTGGAAGAGGACAAATATAGTATCTTACGTTTATAGCCTTCTTTGTATCTCTCATTTTTTGGATCTAATTTCTATTAAATTACGTTTCTTGGCATGAAAACTACAATAGTAAATTTTGAGACCATATTTGTTATTTATTTAATTTTTATGGTTACACTATCAGACAAGCACAAGAATGCATGTTGAAATAAAGTCTTTGTTTGGATTGAATAAAGATTAAGGAATTGGAATGAATTCCTAATAGTTTATAGGAATTCATAGCAACTGATTCAAGTTGTTCAACTATTTTTCATTTTTTCCCTCAAATTCTCGGCATCCAAATTGAGACAAAATGTTGAAGGTGGTACATGGGGAAAACAATTTGATTTGACTTGATTGTGGCCTCACATTTCAGAAATTGTTGAGCATTGGAGAATTATGTTGTAGATTTCTATAAGTTAACGAGTCAACTATATATAAGGCGTCCTGCGGCTAAACTAAGAAGGCAAAGATACTGAACATTGAATTCTATGATAAAAGCCAAATCAGATTGTTTAGAATTTGAGGGTTTATCTAGATCCAAAAAATGATAATAACTAGATCCAAAAAATGATAATAATTAGATCCAAAAAATGATAGTGCCACTTGGTTCAAATTAACTAAATTTTTAGCATATTCAAAACATTTTGTTTTTAGCTTTTGTTATAAAAATTAATATGCACACATACACAATATTTAGTGGTGGCAATCTAGGGGGTAGGTTGTTGGTCAACATATGAAACTCTCTTAGTAGGAGCTGCATTATGTTTGTTCTTGGCTCCTTAGACTCATTACCTTCTTGGACAACTAATGATAGTTTCCCTGTTGCTTCTCGCAAGGCCAAAAGATAGCATGTGGCACTATAGTCTCAAAATTTCTATGAACTCCCATTCCTCAGACTACTTCCAAAATAAGAGTAAGATGTGTTTCCTATATTTGGTGAATGAATATTTGTTTCCGCAGTCATCATGACATGTATAATAGTTTTATTGCTAAAGACAACCAATAGGATGTGATGGGCATTTATAGGTACTACTCCACACCGCATGTATTTTTAGAATTTGTCTCCAATCGAGAGCTATACAATATATCTCTTGTCAACTATGATCTCATTCCTTTTCTTCAACCAAGATTCGAAATAATGCCGGGTGCATTTCTTTGTGATAAGGCTTGACTTGTCTACTATTTTGGTAGACATCACATTTTCATGACTGCCTTCGTCTATGATAAGAGTGCATGTCTTTCCTTTCAAGTTACAACGAGTGTGAAAGATATTGTGGTGAAGCCACTATTAAGCTTTTGCGGACTCAATCTGAAAAATTTGTTGAGCCAATCATTTGTATCATCACCTTCTCTTGTGTTTATTGTGTCATTGTTCATTTATTCTACTATTGGTGCTCTAATGGGTGTGCTCTTAGTACTTGAGTTTTGAGGTCAAGTCCCGTCTGTATGCTTTGGTGATCCCTTGATGATGATGTTGCTTTTCCACCTTCAAAGTTAGGTATGTACATCAAATCTGGATCATTAAGGCGGCAACTGCACTACATTGTCGATAAATGGCTTCGACTCTCCAAGCTACCTTGTCACCCTGTGCTTCTCTGACTCCACCAACTCATATATCAATATGAGTTCATCAAATTGCCGCATACTTCATAGAATATTTCAATATTTTTTTTATTATTTCAATTTGTATAAAATATCTTTAATTTACTGTAGTGTTTGGAATGTAAGCAAATCTTGATCTTTTGCCAATTCATGCAATATTCGACTTTTGTCCAGGTATTTGACCAGTATAATTTTATGTTTGATTGAATTGTGATTATGTTTTTAAACCCATTTGTTGTGTTAAGTGGAAGGAATTCCGTTGGTGTTAACCTGTTTAATACACTCGTTTTTTTCCCATATTGCAGCAAGCTTAAACTGAATTGATTGAAATATTAGCTTTGAAGTGCTATATTTTCATGGTGCATCTTGTGATGTTGTCCAGCTGCTATTGATGGTGATTTGATTCACATTAATTTGCTCGATCGTATATTATGTTTGATATAGCAACTTGATCAATTTTGGTTAATGGTAATGATGTTTTTGTTCAATTTATGTTAAAATTCTACATTTTCATCATATTTCTTTATTATGGATTAGCTCGTGCATGTGCATTGGATTGTCATTTCATGCCGTAGCACCCTTTGGGTTGAATGATTTTATTGTGGCGCAGGCTGGTATGCCTTTTTCTTTGCCTTGCACTATTTCGTTCTATTTTATATATTTGGTAGAGGCCCCGCCCTACAGGAACCAATGAACCATACGAGGCTATTTTTGGAAGAATTCTAAGCAATGGGTTTGATTTTATTGCCTGTGAACAAACCAGCAGCTCAAGGTGCTGTTATGGTGGTATTCATCCGAAATGCTGTACACATTGCTTGTTACAAACAAAAGAAAATTATAATTGCAGTTTTGTATCCACTGCATCATGTCTTCCTTTGCATGATGTAGGGTTTGCCTTGTATATTCTCCTTTCCTCAAGTTGTTGATTATTTATTTCTTTGTATGCATTTTCTTTTTGGAAAATTTAATACATTGCACACAATTTTTATGTATTTACACGTCACATTTAAACTTTTATTTTTACATACATAGCACTTTCGTGCTTTAAATTCATGCATGAAAATGTGTATTTTACTTTTAAAAAGTGGTGGTAGTGCTATTTTTTTGTGCCATACTAGAGACTTGAGTGCTATGTTTGTAAATATGGCTTGCATGGTCTATTTAGCTGAATTCCCTTAGATGTCTTACTTTTTAGTTTCTCTGCTTCACATGAACTTACAAATATCAAATGCTGTAACTATGTCCTCCTCCACAGCTTTTTTCCACTTACAAGGTACCGTTCATTCTGCATTGGATTTCTCTAGCCGATGACATGAAATCACAGTTGCGCATATTCATCTCTGCCATTATGATTGTTCGCCTCTACCAAATGAACACACAGGCATTTTCTACCTTATAATTCGCCTGAAGATCTCCTATGATCTAATTTCCTCTGGCCCAACAACAGTTCATACATGATTGTGGTTCTTCTTTTGCCCCTTTGATATGTGAAGGCCTCTTCCTGTATTCCTGAAAGAGTTGGAAGCCCCTACAATTCTTAAACAAGACTTAACAATGGAAGCTGCTCAGTACGAGTGTGAGACTGTGCAGGGCTGTTTGTTCCAATTTTTCCAGGCTGCTGGAATGGCCGAAGACATAAATATACTGCGGCATTTGTCAGAGCTGTTATGAACTGTTTCGGGGTGAAATTACAGTTGCTTACCTGGTACCTTTAATTATTATAGTAAATAGAGTTAGTTATCTGTGTTCGTTGAAAATAGTCATACCGACAGCACCGCATCGTGCCGAGTTGGCTTCATATTAGCCAACGGCTGATGGTGAAAGCGAAAATTGTTGTGGATTTCAAAGATTGTGTTTTGGGTGAGGATTTGGTTTGTTGTGGATGTGAATGCTGAATTATAATGATATATATATATATATATATATATATATATATGTCAGAGGTATCTTAGATGTAATTGTGTGGGAGTTATGCAGTTTGTGGCTTAATATGTACTGCTGATGGCTATGAGGCCTTCAGATCTGTTGCTTTAATTCTTGGTGTGAGAGATCTAATGTTGTTATGCTGCAAACATGCTTGTTATATATATATAAGATTTGTAAATTTATCTTCAACGCTTACATGCGTGCATACAATATTTCCTGTATGTTGGGACTTTATATATGCTTTTGAGTTTGGAGGAATTTGAAGGCCCTTTCTATCCTTTTGAGCTGAGGTGAAGACTGGTTCGATGCTTTGTTTCAAGTGTTCAGTGAAAAATTAAAAAAAAAAATCACTCTAATATGATTTATTGTTTTTATAATCATTAAACATATTCTGCCATTAGAGCAGAAAAAAAAAGATTGATTATTTACATTGAAGTGGGTATGATGATAATAGAAGTTGATAATTATTTGCTGCTATAATGGATTAAAAAATAGCACCGAATTAATATGATTACGAAAAAATGCATTATATAATTAAAATTTAAAAATGAGCTGATGCTCAAGTTAAAATTGTTTAGTGTGATTTTATAATATCTGAATCATTAAGACGCAATCAAAATTTGCATTTTAGAAAACAACTGAAATTGAAAATTAAATTTGTTTTTCAGTTGTCTCTATATAGTTTTAAATAAATTTTATTTAAAATGTTTGTCTATTGCTTTTGAAAAAAATATTAAATTTTTTATTTATTATAAACATTGTTTAGTATCTTTATGTATAACGAATTGAAAAAAAAATAAATTTTTTTTGAGATAGCTATTATATATTTATACAAAGTAAGAAATATTGATTATAAATTAAAATTAGTTGAGTACTTTGCTTACCTTAAACGCTAAACTCTAAATATACATTAAAAAAACTATAATTTTATGAAATTTTAACCATTGTAATAGGTCATTAACTAAAATTTAATAAATAATTTATGAAAGAAATTTTAATTATTTAAATTTCTATCGATTGAACGATATTATAAAAAAAAATAAGTTAATTTAGCAAATAATATTGTTATTTAAATCAATAAAGGAATATGTTTTTATTAATTAAATATATTTAAATGAAGCCTTGGGCGAGAACAACCAAAACTTGCACGCTATTAGGTTTAGTCTATCACACTGGAATAACATGTCTTAGGTGTATATCTATTAGTTGTTTATTGCGGTCCACAATCAATGCCCCTTTTCACTTGTCTCTTTTCATCTTAATAAGTTGGAGCTAGTAGCAAACTAGTTGGGGCAACCAAATATTCACCCCAAGCTAATTACTCTCCAATTATTGTGTTGCTGTTCCTACACCCAGTTGTTGTAATTCAAACAACATTAGTGATCCTTTATCTATAAAAATACAAGATCTAGTAAAACCAACCAAATCTATATATGTTGGAAGTGTCAACAAGCCTTCATATACTTAAATGCCATGGAGAGGTTGTAAGCAATCTCCTTGGGCATTAGAAGTCATTCTCTTGGAGCATCTTATGGTTTTAGTAGTCCAACTAAATGGACCCTCATATTGCTCTTGACTTCTATGAGTCTACTCCATATGAAGATCTTGATTTGTTAGCTTATCAAAAGCATTATAATCAATAAAAATAGACTGCTCTCCTCTTCTAGAAAATTGAGCATTTTTATTATAACCACCAATAAGCGGTGTTAAATATATAAATACAAAAGAATTGAGGGATAAACTCTCACTTGATTAGCATTAGAGCACAAACGATGCTCCTTTCTAAAATTTCCTCAGTTCTATGATATGCTTCCATGGGAAAGAAAAGTGATTGTGATCGATTGTTGTAAATGAGGCGACAGCTTGGGGAAAAACTAATGAATTTCTTATTTTTGAATCTGCGCGCGTGGTTGGGTGGAGGAAGCTGAAGTGGACAGAGGAGGGAGATTTGAACAGGATTGTTGCAGGTTTATTCTATCTTTTCAAATTCACCTTTTTTTTCCTACTTCATCCCCTCCATTCCTGTAGCTTTTTCTGCAAATGCAGCTTCTTGCTTAACTTTCAGGCCGCAAAAGGAATAAAAAAATTTCATTTTGGATACTTTACATGAGACTGGTTTCTTCAGATATCCACAACGTATTAATTAAATTCACAAGATCTCTGTCTCAATCAAGTTATGGCTTTGATAGCTTGCCTTCGCCCGCTGTCCGGTCCTTTACAGCCATGGTTGCTCCCCATTGCAGACGACAGCAAGACCAAGCCGCTTTACCATCCAATCTCGTCTCCGCTCTTCGGTACGCCAAAACTCATCGCCTGCTATCTGTTGGAAAGATGGTCCACGGTCTCCTTGTTCGATCTGGGTTGGAATTTGATGTCTATATTTCTAATAATCTGCTTTGTGCGTACCTGTCAAGTGGTGCGATTGTTCACGCACGCAATATGTTCAGGCAAATGCTTGTACGAGATTCGGTTTCCTGGAACATTATGATATCAGGGCTTGTTAACCTGGGGCTTTATAGAGAAGCATTTGTTTGCTTCGGAGACATGATACGACTCGGAACTCTCCCAACCCACCCTAGCTTGGTATCCGTCATTGTCGCATGTGCTGAAATGGGAAATTCAATATATGCTCTGCAAGCTCACAGCTTTATCATCAGGTTTGGTTTTTCTTCTTTTGCTTTTGTGGGAAACTCACTCTTGAAGTGTTATGTTGAATATGGAGATTATGAAGATTGGCAGAAGTTGTTAGATGATATGCCTGCTTTGGATGATATTTCTGTTCAGATTTTGTTGAGAGGATGTGTTAGCCATAATATCTTCAGTTTCGCAGTCGAATTGTTTAAGCACTCACGCTCAATTGGCTTGCATGTTAGCCCTTACACAATCACTAGCTTAGTGAGTCTATGCTCAAGTCCTGATAATGCAACTTTCGGTGTCCAAATTCATGGTTTTTCTGAAAAAGTAGGTATGGTTATGGATGCTTCAGTCGTTAATTCTCTAATAACAATGTATTCAAGATCCTATACTTTACATGATGCAGAAGATCTGTTTGAGTTGTGTGTTGCAAAAGATATAGTTACCTGGAACTCTCTCATCAATGGCTATGCATATAATGGAGAGGGTGATGCTGGCTTCAACCTTGTTCAAAGGTTGCTGTCTAGTGGAATTTTGCCTAATGAATCTACTTTTCTGAGCTTCCTATCTTGTTGTGCTACCATTGTTGTTCTCCAGAATGTGAGAAAAGCACATGCTTTGATTCTCAAACTTAGAGAAGGCTTTGAGCAATGGACTGATACTGTTATATTGACCATGTATTGTAGAACTAAGAGTATAGGAGATGCTGCTGTTTCTTTCCATGCTACCAAAGTTAAGGATGCTTTGTCATCAAATTTGATAATGGGGTTATATAGGAGCTGTGGTCGCCATGACGAGTCGATAAACCTCTTTCACATACTTCAATCTCAAGGCTCACAGGTGGATGAAATGATGTTCTACGGCGTCCTTTCTAGCTCTTCCAGACTGGGATTTCTAGATTTTGGATGCCAGATTCATGGTTGGGTCATAAAGAATGGGTTTGATGAAATTTCTCACCTCAAAAACTCTATTTTAGAACTATACTCTCAATGTGGAGGAGTGGATGATATGGAGAGGGCTTTTGAGGAATCTGAGAAAGCTGATTTATTTTCATGGAACATGATGCTCATGGGATATGCGAAAATTGGTTTCTTCCACAAAATTATTACTATTTGGCATGATATGCTGAAGTTAGATATTAAGCTTAATGAGTTCTCTTATTCTGCTTTACTGCATGCATGTTGCCATGCTGACTTGCTGTTGATTGGGGAGCACATCCATGCTGTGATCCACAAGATGAGGCTAGCATTTGATATAGCACTGATGAATTCTTTGCTGACCATGTACTCAAATTGTAAGCAAATGGAGAAAGCTCATTTGGCCTTTCAGGAGATCCCTTCACCAGATTCTGTATCATGGAATGCCATGGTTTCAGGTTACACACAAAATGGATTTCCAGCAGAATCTATTGAACTTTTTGTGAGGATGAACGAAAATGGAATTGAGACAAACGAAATGACTTATGCGAGCATCTTTTCCTCGTGTTCTTCGATTGCAAACCTGAAATTGGGGTTTCAGTTCCATGCTCAAACAGTCAAAAGAGGATTTGATTTAAACTTATCTGTTTCAAACTCGCTCATCACAATGTATGCCAGATGCGGTAACATACATGAGTCATCCCAGATTTTTCGTAGAACCAAGGAACCGGATCTTATCACTTGGAATTCGATGATAAATGCGTATGCCCATCATGGGCTTGGGAAGGAGGCGATTTCTTTGTTTGAAGAAATGAATAGTTTTAGCGAGAAGCCGAACAACGCGACCTTTATGGGGATTCTTTCGTCTTGTAGTCGAGCGGGTTTGGTTTCTGAAGCATGCCATCATTTCAAAATCATGGAGGAGGTTTATGGGATTATGCCAAGCGAAGAGCATTGTGCTTGCTTGGTTGACACATTGTGTAGGGCAGGTAAATTGTGGGATGCTAAGTTGTTTATAGAGAGCATGCCTGTTCAAAATTGTTCTTTAGTTTGGAGAACATTATTAAGCTTTTGTCGATTAAATGGAGATGTTAAGCTTGCAGAGGTGGCAGCAGAGAAAATAATTGATTTGGAACCGTGTGATTCGGCTCCATATGTCATCCTATCTGACTTGTATGCCTATGTAGATGATAGAACCATGAAGAATCATTTGAGGAGGTTAATGGAGAATAGAGGAGTGAAAAAAGAAGCTGGGTTAAGTTGGACTTCTAGCTAGATTTGTTCAGCTGTTTATGCTTTTGGTAAACAAGAACATGGTAGCAAGTTTGAAGAGCTCGGATAAGATGTAGGTTGCCCAATTAACATTTTTTCCTCCTTTTATAAACATTTGTTTTTATATTGAAGTGGCCTGAGGCATGTTTATGTTGAAACAATTTAACTCAAAATTAAGAAAGAATTTAATTCAAACAAGTTCAAACTCGGCTAATCAGGTGTTTGTGAAGTCTGATGAGCTGTAACTTAATCTCCAGGACCTCAATTGGCAAATTGGCATGAGGCCGAATAAGTAATGGGAGAGAGAAATTTTCCCTGTTCCACTTTGGTTAATACATGCAGCGTGAGTAGAATTTTTTGAAGAAATAATTGTTAATATAAGTATTCATTTTACCTTCTCTCGAATTTGATATTCTGTTCTTGCTAACTTTGACGCAGCTAACATAACACTTGGTTCTTACTACACTTAATGGACAATATTGTATCCAAAATTCATGTTATTAGACCACAGCACTATCATTAATCTTACAATAAATTTCATGGTCATTGAAGTTGAAACTCAAATGATCGTTTGAATGCTCTGTTACTGTTTCACATGCAACAAGTTTTGCAGAAATAGTCAAGATTAACAGCAATTTCTGTACCCCTTTTTCATCAGGTTTTCTGTAGATACGAATGAATTTTCATACTTTTGTCACATTGCTATGTTTGTTTTACAGCATATTCTATCACTCATTCCTTAATTAGATCTCAGCTAATCTTCGCAATAAAAACTGCACTTTGATGAAAAAACTGACGGTCAAACTACATTGCAGATAGATTTTGAAACTAAAAAATAAAAATTTATCATTCCAGCCAAAAAAGCCACCCATTGTAATTATTTCCGAGAAGAAAAAGTATTTCTCACATAGTTTCTTCTCACATTGTCACGAGAATCTATAGTGCAACTGAATGACTCTGATAATGATAGTGAATATTCCCACATAAGGCTTGTGAGGCTACGGACAATCAAATGTATGTTGGTGATGGGAAGGCCAGTAAATTCCTTCTCTCGGGCAAGGAAGAAGAGGTGCAGGCTGAGCAAGAAAGGTAGGAAACCTCTGCCCTGGCATCAGTACAGAAAAATCAGGAGTTGGACCCAGAACCTCCTGTAGATTCAGGTAGAGATTAGGATTTAGGGCTATATTTGATAAATTCAGTCGTTCAGAATATGAAACAGTAAAAAAATGCACAAACTTTGAACAAATTCAAACAGTGCAAGTGAAATTGAACTTACAGATTTGGAGTTGAGAAGCTTTCCAACTGAGTGCAATTGAGACTGCTGTTGATTCTCCCCAAATGACTCTGGACTTTCGTTTTGAGGCTGCTCTAATGATTGCCTTGGTCTGATTAGATACTCAAATATTGCCATTATGAGGAACATAGATACCAAAATTGCAGTGGCGACAAAACCAAATGAAATTGAGTTCATTGATGTTCCCAAGTCCTTCCAGGGCGCCTCTTTATCAGTTGTTTCTGTTTGAGCTTGATCTGTGTTTAATCTGTCTGATCTTTCCCAAAACCTGTTCATATTGGCTGGCTTTTACTTTACTAGAGGTTTAAATTCCTCATATCTGCAGATGATATGATAATGGATTTAGTTTCAGTACTTGAAAAAAGGAAATGGAAACTAAAATAACTCAAAATAGAATAGAACGGATTTCCAAATCCGAGCAGTTGAAAGTTTGCATGCAACAAGATAGAAAAGAATGAAATAAATATGAAGAACTTTGTTAAATTCTTACCATTTCAGAACACAATATAAGCCTTAAAATTCAGGGAAAAAAAAAAAATCAGGTGTTTGAATGCATTCTTGCTTCCCAAAGGAAAAAAAAATTGCTTTCGCTGTTCAAGTACTGATAAATAAAGAAGCAGTTCAGTGTCTTCTGTCCTCTGATACTTTTACTCATAATTTTCAAACTATTTTTCTCAATATAAGCGAAGGTAAACTTACTAGTAATGAAAAAGCTCTAAAATCTCTGGCAAATAACGATAGAGTGTGCTCTTTAAAATGAGAATGAGCTTAAACAGGGTCACTCCGGCATTGTCATTTCAATAGAAATATAAAGATTAGTGGTAGGATCCCACATGCTTCAATCCATCACCGTTTGAAGGAAAAAAGCTGCCACATTTCTAAAAAGACTTCAATTGAACAATAAAAGTTGCATTCAAATTATTAAATACGAGTTTTTAATAATCAAATAAAGGAAGCATATAAGCCATGAGATCTCGTTGATATATATAGGCAATAGAAAAATAGGCATTCAGCTAATACAAACCAAGCATCAATAATAGAAGGCTGACAACAAAAAGAGGATTCGAAATGACCTGTATCATTCGAAAAATATGTTAGTACAGAAATACTAAACTTAAAATTTTGAACTAAAAGAAAAAGGAAGATTTACATAGATACCACTTAATTCCTTTGTATTTACATATCTAACGCCTAAAGTTCAATTTTTGCATATATAACACCTTACCTATGCATGAAAAAGATGCATTTCACTTTTTAAAAGTTAAAATAATCGTATGTTTGATTTGATATGAAAGATATGAGTGGTATAAATGTAAAAAGGTTAAATTTAGGTGTTAGATATGTAAATAGATAAGAGTTGTGATTATTGTACCTGTAAAAGGGCCCACTGACTTTTGTCAGGAGCACAAAAGCTAACAGTTGGAGGCACAGAATTCAAAAGAATGGCAAACAATAGGAGCACCCTTTGCTTCAAAGAAATAATTTATGACAGGCAAACAGTAGCTGCCATTATTTAAAGATTGCATGGCTCCCTAAGCAATTAGAACATTATTGGACTCATATCTGGACATTTGAGTTTCAACAATTCCAAAATCTTAAAAAGTTTTATTATTTAGTTTGGTTTTATTTTTTATTTAACCATCAGGTTTAAATTGAATAAATTTAAAAACAAAAAATGTAAATCATACAAGAAGATCAACTTTAATAAATAGATAATTAAAAGGTAAAATTTTTTTCCCAATACAATGAAATTTGTTTTGCACGGATTTGGTAATATGAATCAATTAAACTGTAGTAAGAGGGAAGGAATAATACCATTTTGGATTATTTCAGCCGATGGACTCCAGAGACAGTGAGGGAGCATTGGAACAAACATAGTGGGAGAAGTGGTATTAAATAAATTACAGTTTTGTTTCTGTCCCTCCTTGCTGAATCAAGAACCAAACATCAAGAATCATTCAATTCCATTTTTTTTTATGATTGAATGACTTAATTCCCAGTGATGGAAATTAAAAAACTTAGGATGAAGGCATCATTGTTACCGAAAAAGGAAAATATTGTGCACTAAATGACAGAAATCCCAAACTGCAGACATAAATCAGCTGATGAAGTGTTGTGTTAATTTAAATACATATATAGTATACTAGGATTTTTTCCTCAGAGAATGAGTGAGTGAGAGAGAGAGAGAGAGATGGGAGGAAATTTTTAACTTTTCAGATATTATTTATTTGTAGTCCAAAGAGCATCCATGCAACACCAATTTATACAAATACAGTTTAAATTTTTTCAACTCAAACTTACATCTAGATAGATCAACAAAATTCTATCATCCTGCAAAAAATGAAAACAATCCTAAAATTAAAAGCAATAAAACAAATACAATATGGAGTTAATAATAGAATAATAGAAAAAGTCTATCAATGTCCAGAATAATTTTGCGGCATGTTTTAGTGCACGTGAAAGCCAGACAATTTTTCAAGAACTAAATAATTTTTTTTAAAAAAAAAGACATTTTTGAAACACAACAGTACCTGGGGGAAAATCCTATACAAAGAATCATTTATTTATTTATTTATATTTTAATTTATACATAATTCCTTGTCAATTTTGCTGCTTCGAAATAGAACCTCATATTTTATAAATTTTTTTATACCTTCAATCTTCTTCTTAAATAAATGAGGGAAGCTTACATATGTTTGCACACAATTCTTATGTATTTATATATCTCACACCTAAACTTTCATATTTACATGCATATCACACTGGTGTTTTAAGCCTATACATGAAAATGTGTATTTCATTTTTAAAAGATGGCAATAGTGCTATTTTTGATGTGATATTAAAGATTTAAGTGTTATGTGTGTAAATATGAAAATTTTGGTGTGAGATATGCGAATGCATAAGAGTTGTTTGCTATGTATGTAAATGCCCTAAAAAGAATATTATGTTGACTGAATGAATGATTGGCATATGAGACAGCTTAGAAAGTGAAATATATTTCAGCTTTTGCTTTACCTGATAAGCTTGATGGGCCAAACAAAAAGTAAAGGTACAAGCTTGTAGTGTTCCCAGGTGAGGTGATAGTGGGGTTCACATGTCACACCCTCTTCAATGCGAAAAAGACCCAAAAAAAATGAAAAAAACAGGAAAATAATATGTTTAAAATAATGATTAAATAACATTCTTGACCAGTTTTTGTTGATATTTTAATTAACAGCTCGATGGTCGTATCTTCTATTATTGACTCGTTAATTCTATCTGTGCAATTATCTCATCTTAATTGATTGGTTTATTTTAGATGATTTAGATTGTTCCCAGTAAAATTAAAGCGATTTTATACATAAAATTTGAATTCAGTCCTAATCATCTAAAGTGAAATTAACATGAGCATATGTTGTATGAGAATGTGCAGAAGCAGTTAACACTAACTTCCTCCATTACACATTGACGGGAGCTAAAAGGTAAAAAAGTGAACTCTTTTATCATTTATTTGCACACATTCATATAAACTTTTATCTTTTACAATCATAGAATTCATGAACAAATTACATGGCAAGCATGCATGACAGGATCCTCAAATTGACAGAATATATATACACGTACAGGTTTTTTGGTCTGCTTAAGAGCAGTTGTACTTAAAGAAACAATTCTGCTTCGTCCTTACTTATCCTCTATGTGACTCGTTTCCAAGACATAGTCTCGCATAAGCCTTGTGTTGGATTCATCAACCATCTGCAAAACATGTTTCAACTAGCTGAAGTAGCCAGATGGAATATTTCCTATTAGAAATTTAAACTTAACGGTCAGGATTTCTGACCTTATATGCTAACTTCTGCAAGTTGTCCCACTCAAAATCTCTCTTGGAATATGCAGATCGAACCTGGATAGTTTAAATTTTTCAGCTTGAGTTTTCTAACTGAAAATTCAAGCATGATTATTATTTTACTGGAAAGATGAGACTAACCTCCATGATGCGCAGAGCTGTAAAACAAAAGAGACCTAATTAGCATGAAAATTATAAAGATGAGAGGAATGTGCAATTGCCAAGTTTCTGGAAACTGTAACTAACCAAACATAATTGAAGATACACTGTTTATTACTGCAAATTTTATGTATTATTGAGTACATTACAATAGAACTCTATGACCATCTTTGTGTTGCCAATGGTGTTACCTTGAGAGTAACCTAAACTTTCATATTTACCTACATAGCACTTTGGTGTTTTAAGCCTATGCATGAAAATGTATATTTCAGTTTTAAAAAGTGATATTAATAGTACTATTTTTATGTGAGATATTAAAGATTTGAGTGTTGTGTGTAAATATGAGAGTTTAGGCGTGAGATATGTAAATGCATAAGAATTGTATGCTATGTATGTAAATGCCCCTAAAAAATAGTCTAGCAAAAACAATAATTCTAGAGATCAATGAGTATTCCGTGAAATGCATTTGTTGGATAGCAAAACATCAGCTGAAAAAATCCAAACAATAGAAAGAGAAATAGAGATGTGAGTATACCGACTAGATGAATTTTTAATGTTTCATAGCGGAGGCATTGGGGGCATATGTCCACCAGCCCGGCCCGAAACAATTAATATATTAATAGTATGTTAATAGCATTTGGGTTTTTAAGTAATTTACCCTGCCCGACCAACACCCAATATACATGCCTTGTCTCTTTAGAAAACTTGAGCATCGTTCTTCGGCTGTCATTGGACGCTCTTGCAGTTTTCCAGACATTGTTCACTGTTCTTGCCAGAGAGTGCTCACCATAAAACTACCTTCCATTGGCACCCATATTGTTTACTGAAGCAAGTTCAAGAAAGAGGCTAGCATCAAACTCATCCTAGCGGTGCCGCAGCAAAAGTTTATATATAGATTTTTAAATGCAATTTTTTGTCTTTACATTTTTTTTACAAATTATATCTAATTTCACTTTAGTACACACCAAGCCAGAAATTATATTCAAACAACCCCACATTTACTTTATTGTTACATTGAAATATTTTATTTCGTGATAGATATGCAACATTGAGAGCTCAATAAAAAATTTAAGATAAATATTGAATTGCTTCTATGTGTGACATGTTTAAATCTATGTGATTAATTATCAATTTTTAATTAAAAAAAGTTTGATATCAATGTTTTTAAATGCACGCTTTGAAGCGTGCTTCACAAGCAAGTAAAGCGAAGCGCATGATGGCCACTCTACTTCACTGAAGCGAGTTTTAAAGTGTTGAAGCAAAGCATCCGATCCTGTTCACAGTTTAGTGAGAGAGAATAAAAAGGCTATTGAATTAATTTGTTTATTTATGTTTTAAAATTTAGATTTTGTTTTGAGTAATAAATTTTTTTTTTGTTGTTGTAATTTTTAGGTTATTAATGGTCGCAACAAACTATTAGAAATTGTACAAAATTTTAATTTATAGGTTCACCCTCAATGTTTGCTTTCAAGTTAGGTATTACACCGCATTCTTTTATATTTTATATTAACTTTTAAGTCATATTTTATATTTTGTAATTGTGAAAGAATGTATTTTTACATTAATAGCTTCATATTACATGTTAGTGCTCTAGTTAATAAAAGCACCACTTCACTCGTCGCTCTTCGCTCTTCGCTCTTCACTCATCGCTCTATGCTTTGAAGTAAAATTTAAACTTTGCACATCGCATTGCGCTTTGCACTTTGATAATTTTGATTGATATGTCTGATCAAATTTTATCTTTTAATTTCTCAAACATAGATTTTATTATATCTAACATTTATTTATCTAGTGATGCATTTTGAAAGTTGAAAATGATTGGAGATTGAACAAAAATTAATAAAGAAAGAAAAAAAATGATATGCAACACTTGGTGTGCGTTCATTACTTGTGTTAACTTTATCAATAGCTACAACAATGGCTGTATGTGTATTCTTTGTTATGAAGATTATAAGAATCATTTGTGTGATCATATGGGAGACACTTTGATGAATGATTGTCTATTAAATTTAATAATATTGATAAATTGTACAACAATATGCAAAAAATGGTAAGTGAAATGCATGAGAAAGTAAAATGATATTTCATGTAACATTTATCACTTGCACCAAACAAAAAATATTGGATGCTCTCTACAATAGAGTAATTTGTACATGTCGACACTATTTTGGTTGGGGGAGTTGTACGTAAGAAGCTGTCGGTCACCGGAATCGAGATCTCGTTGTCCGCTTCGGAAGGATGTTTTAATTTACATATATATTTAAGTTTAGAAAAATATGAAATTAAACTGACCCCATATTTTTCATAGTTTAAATGAAAGAACACTATACCTCAAATCTAGTATTCATCCCGAAGGATAAACACAAAACTTGAGGATGATGCTTGATCAGATAAACTAAGAAATATATGACGTTCGTTTGGTCTGCGAAATCATTTTATTTGCCGACAAATTTCCCTATTTAATATGAATAATTAAATAGGGTTTATATTAAGTTGGGTTCGGAAAAGCTTCCTATAAGGGCAAACCCCTATAGTTAATTACATCTTAAATGACTGAAGTCACCTAAGAAAACTCTTGATAAAAATCAGGAATATTATCTTCAAAAGGTAAAAAAGATAGAACTTTTCAACGAAATCGGACAAAGATGTGTGCAAAGGGGAATGGTTTAAACTTGAAACATTTATTATGAAATCCAAAGGAAGAAGAACTAGGGGATGCCACAGATCCAAAGGAGAACCTCGGTGACTTCCCCGTCTACCCTATGGTTTGGCTTCAGTTTCGAGGAAAAAATATTCAAGTGTTTTATCTTGCCAATTTTATTTACTTAGGGCTTACATTCATGTGAAACGATCACACAAATAACCTGGAAGATATGAGGATTTAGGTCGTGACGGACGATAAACTCGGAATCCTAAGACGAGTTAGGGCTTAGAATGTAGTACAAATGCCTAAAGATAAGTTGATGATTTATGTTGCATAAACAAACAACTCTCAAAGTTCTATGACTTGTTGTTTAATTCTAAAGAATGGTTTAGCTGGTGTAGGAATGTTTTGTTGTTGATGATGGTCATGCTGCCCATAATGCTAACTCCAAGTTCCACGTCGTAGCAAGTTTTAGTTTTATAATGTGTCAAGTCATGATATCAAATCAAGTGCACCCTAAGATTTTTTTAATTTAAATATTATGGGGAATGTTATAGTTGACTAGAGCGACACCAGTTAGGATATGTGTAGCACATGTAGCACAGGACAACAGTAGATTATGCAGTGAAAAAGAACAGTACAACATGCGATGTAAAGAAAAGGTAAAAGGTACAACAGGAAAATGACCGCAAGAAAGTAATATGCTGTAAACACAAATCAAACCTGTATACCTGGAGATCCGCTGTTCCTTAGGTGTAGTTGATGTAACAGGTACAAATAGAACAGACTAAAATGCATTATATAAATGAAAGCAAAAGAAGAAAAGAAACGTCACCCAGAAAACTCGAGAAAGAACAATAAATGACCCACAATAGAAAATTCGGGAAAAATCAACGAATAATCCATGACGAAAAGCTCGAGAAAATTGACGAGTAACAATTCAAATAAAATCCTCAAAACCTCGGGAAAATCTAGGAGAAAAGACCACGAGTGCTTTGTCCAAAAATTTTGATAAAACATATGAAAAAGTATAAAAAGAGGGGACCGCAAACACTCGAGTAGGGCTAGGCTCAGATATATATTTGTATTCGAGGGTCGTCGAAGGCTACTCGGTCACCCAGATGTATAAAGTTCGTCACTCGACCAGAAGGGTGTCCTACTGAACCTAATTTAGGAGGGTACTCCTTGGCCCAAACAGGTAATCAACAGGTGGACAACCAATTTTTTAAATGTATGTAAAATTTATATTTTTAGCATGCACATAGGTTTCAAGCATACAAAAGTGGGTTGTATCAATTTTGTTTATAGCAAAAAAAAAATTTTTGTTTGAAAAAGGTGTATTCGTTCTTATAAAATTTGTTTTTATTAGTTTTGAAAAAGTGTAGTTGTCCACGAGTCGATCACACTGTCGGGCGTAGGACTACCAACAACCTAAGAAAATACGGGTCAACTCTCGCTAGTCTTATGTCGGTGAATGATATTACATCCTATGGTTCACCGGGTCTGTGGGGGTGTCCCGATGTCGTAGGATGAAATATCATTCCGCTTTACCACCGGTGTACCTTTGTCATCACCGCCCTAAGCCCTAAAACAAAATCGAACTACTTGCGACATTGCTTGATGGTTTCACATATAACAAAAGACTATACGTGGACACTTATGTATCAGACATAAGCATAAAAAACCGAACCAAGAAGCAAGAAAAAAAGAACAAAAGTGGGGTGAGAGATCCCTAAAACACCGAAAAGACGAAGGATGAATCCGCCCTGAAAACTCGTAACGAAAAAACCTGAAGAGGTAAGGCCCAAGGTCTCCGAATCAATCCAAAATGATATCATTTTCTCACTTTTATTAGAATTGGATTAACCCAAAGAGGGTGTCATTTCCAAACCCTGTCTCGAACGAGTCGAAACGGGCCCGAACCGACATGAAGATCACCCACAAATGACCTCCCCGATATCAGTGTCTAACCTCCAAAAATATCTTCCATGGGCTCAATTTAATTCAACCAAATGCTCTCCCAAATAGGACTTGAAAATCCTCCAAATTCCATGAATTGAACAAAAGGAAAGTGACCCGGGGAAAACTACCATCGACACCTCCAAACTCATGCCAAAATTAAGATTTCCAACTCCCAAATTAATCAATAGCTTCACATACCAAATAAACATAGAACCTTCCAATAAAGCCACATAAATGCTCACGACTGGGCTCAATAGAGAAGAGGAAGCAATCACCAAGGCTCTCGGCCAAGGCCACCAACTGAACAAGGAGCTCACGGCTAAGGCAGGAAACATGGCCAAAAGAGGTTCACGGTTAAGACAGAAAACAGGGCCAAAAGAGGCTAACGGCCAAGGCAACCCAAGGCACAAGAAAGGATCACGGTCAAGGCAACCCAAAGCACAAGAAAGACTCACGACCAAGACAACCCAAGGCACAAGAAAGGCTTGCGGCCAAGGCAACCCGAATCAATTCCACGAGGATCTTTGATATACATAAGAGATTACAAAATATAACCATAATTTTGGGATGACAAATTTGATCCACCAACAATCATCCAAGTAATTCAAGCCCAACAAGAAGGACCAAATCAAATTAAACAACCCTTAATATGTCTCACGGGTAGGAGTAGGAAACCATCTGGTAGCTCTCGAATAAGGACGACACAATACAACAAGACAAGTTCTCGGGTGAGGGCCTAGAACAAACCAAATCAAGCCCCCAAGCCACCTCTCGGGTAGAGACAAGTATAAAGCACAAACATAGGCTCTCGGGTAGGAGCTAAACCAGCAAACCGAGCCCCCAACTAGAGCCAAAGGACAAGCTTCCGAGGCTAATAAATGGAACTCAAATCATTAGGACAAAACCTCAACTAAAACCAAAGCCAAAAGCCTCGATGAAAATATCCCATGCTTCAATAGTGCAAACCAAGTACCAACAAGAACGAAACTAAACATAGGGCCACCACGTGTTTCGAATAAGAAGAACTGTAGAACTTTTCCAAATCAAGATAAATTGCTTCATAGCATGCATTCTTAAGCCAAAAAGAATTATAAGATGCCAAGAATTATAAGATGCCAAAATTGAAAGACCAAATAAACCCTCCAATGTCTCATGCTAGATAAGAATAAATGAAAAGCTTCATGATACATATCCTAACATGCTTGCAATTCATGATACATATTTGATACATATTCTAACATGCTTGCAAGAGGAACTAACATTGTCTCAAAGCCATGTTTCAACCCTCCTAATTGCTTCCAATAGAAACATGTCATAGCTTTACCACTTTAAGCAAGTAATCAAGTCTAACTCCTATAACATGCTCACATTTCCATTTCTAGATGCTTGAGTAACAAATATTTCAAAAATATAGGTGCAATATCACGCTAGCATGCTATACCATCCACAACACCAAGCTCAAAGACTCGACAGAGGGAAAACCGAAAAGAAGCAAGGCACAGGAGGGGGGAAGAAGGTACCTCTTTGCAGCAAAAAGCAACACAAAAATTTTAAAAGCACTCCTCAACTTCAATCCTTCCTCCAACAATAAGAGGAAGCCAACCCAAGCATAAAAAAGAAAAAAAACTAAAGAAGCAAGTGAGAAAAGAAAATAGCAGAGTTTTCCCTCCCTCCAAGAGGTTTTCGGCCCACTGAAATGCTCCAAACAGACCCTAATATAGACCAGAGAAAAGAAAATGAATGATTAAGAAATCGTATATGGCTCGAGGGATCGAGAGAGGATGAGATCCTCGCAGAGGATATGATCTGCCGCAGAGAAGATCGAACGTAGAACGCAGAAGATATGATATGAGGGATGGGCGCCTGCGAGGCTTGTCTTGCGTGCCAGAGACGCGCACAAGGACGAGTCTCTCCAACGGCACGAAGAAGGAGCGGGCCAGACAACGGAACGAGCCAACCCTAAGGCCCACGGGATCGAGACACAGAAGGGGGAGGAGGAGATAAATAAAATTAGGTTAGGGATTAATATAAGTTATTAATTATAATAATAATAATAATAATAATAAAGTTTTATTTATTATTATAATTAACACTTAAATGTGTATTTTCCCCCAAACGTGTCGTCGTAGTGAAACGAACATCTCCCCTAGGCAAAATCGACATTCTGGACGCGTTGACGCAATCCGTTTTGTTATTTGGAGTCATTTAGACAACCTCGTCGACTATCAGGACAAAAACGCGTCGCGACCCGAATTAATTCAAAAACTCGGCTCGAGCTCAATCAAATAGGACGGCGAAAAGCGCGACAGCGCCAGATCAACACGTACAGTCAATCCTAGGGCCAACGGTCCTATAGGGATGCTCCTTAAACTTCCTCACAGTAGCCCCACCTACTAAGTGCTAGAGGTCAAAACTACTATGAAGAACCTCAAGTCGAGCAAAGAAAACTCAGAATTTCTGACGGGGAGGGCTCCTTTGCTAGTTTTCTAGGAATAGTCGACAGGAAAGTCCTACGGCTAGACCCTAGGCTATTAAAAAGGAGAGATTAGGCCTCAACCAAAAGTGAGGTTAACAATACATCAAGAGGAGATCGAACGGTCTAGAAGGAAGTACAACAAAGGATGGTCCACTAACATGAGGCTAAGAGGCCCCACTTACTCAATTTTGGAACCAAGGATGAAGGCTAGCCGAGCCAAAAGAAGAATCAAAAGAATGATTTGAGCCCGAATTGATTGAATTAGAATAAGACAGATAAGCATCTGAGCTAAACACTGTCATCCAACAAACACCATGTGACTAAGAATTAGCAATGCAATAGAGTATCTCAATAATCCCAAAGGACTCCCTCATCGAAGAATGAACTATGTATCGGGTTATAGTAATTCATCATTAGCTTGATAGCTTCACCTCATTTTGTCGACAATTACTCCTCACCTAAGGATCATGGATTGATAGTTAGAATAGATCAACCAAATGACAAATTCCAGCTGATCGATTCAACCCTGTTGATCTGAAGCTAATCAAAACGAACTGACCGACTACACTGGCTCAACCTAGCTGACCGAATCGCCGAGCCGAAGTAATATTAGCCCGACCGAACAAGTCATAGGATAGTCGGGCAATAGACTTATATATATATAAAATATCTAAACTAACATGTATGACCCCTATTAAAGTAATGATAGAAATTTAATTTCACATATTGCGCACTCTCCCATAAATAAGGAGATTATTTTATGAGAAATGACTAATAGACAAGACGCTTTACTATTCATCATTATTATGTCTCTCTCAGTCTCTCTCTTCGTTTTCTTACACTCTAACTCTTGGGGTGCGATTCACAGAAAGATCAGGATTCAACTTTCAATAATTTTAAAATAAGAAAAGTGTTTGCTATTGATTTTAGATTTTTCATCAAGATATATTTCATTTTTTTATATAAAAAACTTGTAACTTTATCTTTTTAACACTGTCAATGTCGGACCCAAAATTTATCTTCCTCACTCTTTTAGCCCAATTCTATGCATGCAACAATAGTGATGCTAATAAAATGCTTTGCTAAACAGATAATTCAATAGGATCCAACAAAGCATAATTCTTTGCAACGGGCAAAGAGTCCAGTGAAACGCTTTGATAGTAATGTAATGTGCAGGTTTTCTCGAGTAGTCAATTAGAGAAAGATATTTAGAATTGATACAATACCTTTCATAAAATAAAAAATGAATACATAGTGACCAAATAAAAAATAACATGGATTCCTAGAATAAGCATTCATAAATGAACAAATTTAATTTCTCCACTAAGATTACTGATATCAATCAATTGGAAGTAAGAAAATCTACAAACGTATCAGGCTTAGGGATTGTGCACTCGATTTATTGCAAACTGTAAGAGTCTTATTACCTAAGCCTTTGTGCCTTGGAGATTCCCGCATCAATCTGCTGCAAAACTGGTCGCCGTCATTTAAGGAATTGTGGCTTACAAACTCCATCAACTCCTCGTACGCCTCCCGATTGTAACTCTACTCATCATCGTCAAAGATGAAAGATTCATTAAATTTTAAAAAAATAGCTATACATGCGGGAATAATAATGGCTGACCTGAAGCTGTGCGAGAACTATCTTGACTGCAACGAAGGTGAAGAAATGTTGAAGCTTCGCAGCAGCCTTCGCTTCTGGTGATGCTTCACCAAACCCTAAAACAAGGGCATTTAAAGGTGAGGCAGGGGGTGAAGAGGCGATGGTGACTAAAGCAGGGAGTTTGAAAAGGATGGCCGTTGAAGTGATTACCAGGCACAAACATCTTCTGGCAGCGAGAAGGACGAAACCCTACGAGCTGCCGGAGGTGAAGAGAAGAAGCTCGTCCTGAAGAATTGCCGGGAAAGATGACTGAGAGTGAAGGGGCACGCAGTGGGGAAGACAATGCGCACTCCATTGCTCAAACTACCGTGTGGCTCAAATTCTCCCAATTTAACATACCAACGGCCTCATCGTCCGGACGTCCACATTATACTTTAATTTTATTTTTAATATATATAAAATAATGATATGAGTAGAGTCACAAACATATTATCAAACTAAGGTAACAATAGAAGTTAAAGAAAAAGACAACAACTAGTTTGATCCAAATTTTATTTGAATAAATGAAGAACTTAAAAATATTATCTGTTTTATTGTTAATCTGAACATAATAATATATTAGACATTTAATGCTGGATTTTCAGTTCTTAATTATATTATATATTATATAGCAGCAAGCATAAAGAATGATGCTATGATGGAAGATATTAATTAATTCTCAAGGCATTATTGAAGCGAGCGAGCTAACTAATCATGTTTATTTGTTTGATTGAATGTGGGAAATATATTTAAATAAATTTAAAATAAATACTAATTAATTTGAAGTAAAAAAATATTCTACGTAGCGTCTAGAAAGGGCTCGAAGTGGTATTGGGCTGGGCCAAGATCTCGATTCGTACAGTATTTCTCCCTCCACATCATTCGACGTATCGTAGCAGCACTCATCACTCTGTTCTCGGCGTTCCCGGACCACCCCTTCAATGCAGATAGACGAGGATGAGACGCCTGCCATGGCTGCGCCGGGCTCGGAGGCGCAATGGCGGGAGCCACCCGTAATTCGGCGGTTGGAAGAATCTGTGGTGAACCGAATCGCTGCGGGGGAAGTGGTGCAGCGACCGGCCTCGGCGGTGAAGGAACTTGTGGAGAACAGCCTCGACGCCGGCGCCACCTCTATATCCGTTGTTGTCAAAGATGGCGGCCTCAAACTTATCCAGGTCTCCGATAACGGCCACGGCATTCGGGTATTGCCCTAACAATTTTTACTTCTAGCGCCTTCTCCTTCTTCTTTTAGGTTTCTAATTACGCATTTTAGATTGCATTTACTTTTAAGTTTTTCTAATTGAATATCACTATTAGATTTTATGTATTCCAAGGAAACGGCGGTTTAGTCGTGTGCAGGATCGTGAGGTTTCTTGTGCATCATCAAGGTCGTGTATTCCGAATTCGCTTGATTTGTACCAATTTGGAATGTAGATAAAATAAACTATGAACTATATTCTTAAGCCCTAACAAATATTGCTTTGAGTTTTTTTGTTTCTTCTCCCAATCTATCAAACACCAAGATTAAAAGCCATTGAGTTGGAATACACTCAACCGAATAACCAGAAAACGTCATAGGAAAGGAAAAGTTCTTTCGAAACCATTCGAGTCACATACTATGAGAACGAGAATACTTTATCTATTTTAAAATTTTAAAATTATAATTTTACAAGATACTTTACAGTGCATTCAAGATAAAAAAGATATAAAAAATATAAAATTTATTTATTTTGGTGCCATTGGATTTAAGATAAGTAGACTTGAAAACCATCACTTAGTAAACTGATGATTGGCCTTTTTTAGGTTGTATTTTAAGGTTCATAATGTGATTGTTTCCAGTTACTCTGATTCAGATGTATCTTATAATGTTGCCACTTATACTTTTCTTATAACTTTCTGTAAAAGTTCCTATTGAGGACTAATGTAAAAGTTGAATTTTTGGAAGTATGAAGACTTGCCCATATTATGCGAAAGGCATACAACATCAAAACTTACTTCATTTGAAGACCTACAAACTATCAAATCAATGGGTTTCAGAGGTGAAGCATTAGCCAGCATGACATATGTTGGCCATGTCACTGTGACAACTATAACTGATGGCCAGCTACATGGTTATAGGTATTAATATCTGCAGATCTCTGCAGTTATTTCTTCAGTTCTATTTATTGTTCCTTTTCTTTTGTGCTTATTTTTTATCTCCTTGTCATATTATAGAGTATCTTATAGAGACGGAGTGATGGAACATGAGCCCAAGCCTTGTGCTGCAGTGAAAGGGACTCAAATAATGGTAATAAGACTAGACCATCCAGAACTTACCATATGGATAAAAATAATTTATTCTTGCTGCATTTCTCAGCTATTCATCTTCATTTCTAGGTGGAAAATTTGTTTTACAACATGGTTGCTCGTAGAAAAACATTACAGAATGCCAGTGATGATTATCCTAAAATTGTTGACCTTATAAGTAGGTTTGCAATTTATCATACTAATGTCAGCTTTACCTGCAGAAAGGTGAGTTACCAGCGCTTATATTTGTATATATGTAAAGAATTTCATCAATTGTTCCTTTTGTCTAAATCGATCTTTTATTTCTGCATCTGTTGACATAGCATGGTGCAAGTAAGGCGGATGTGAGTACTGTAACTTCCGCTTCAAGGCTTGATTCTATCAAAATAGTGTACGGTATATCTATTGCCCGTGAACTGATGGAGATAGGCACTTCGGACAGCAATCCTACTCGATCAGTCTTTGAGATGGATGGTTATATTTCCAATGCCAATTATGTGGCTAAGAAGACGACAATGATTCTATTCATCAATGGTATGTGATGCACATTATTTAAATGCATTCAATATTTGATTTTTTAGAGTTGAAAGTTTATTTGTTAATGCATAAATTTGATCGATCCTACCGGCTAGGTGAGATAGTGCAGGAGTTTTTTTTTTTTTTTTTTTACGTGAAATTCCCAAATAACAAAATTTGTGTCTTAATATTATTGTTTGCATTTATAAATGAGTTCACTGTAACAACTTTTGGTAAACTTCGAATATTGGGCATGCATCTGAAGGAAGCTTTAAAGCAGATGATTGCTTTTAAGTACTGCTCTTGAAGTTCCTTGAAAACTACCCTACCTAATTGCTGTAGGCAGGCAGCAGGTTTTGTGGAACCCTCAAATAGATAAACATAAAAAAATGCTATTATCCATTTAATTGATAAAAATACTATCTAAATACAGTCAAGTCCCCTTATTGATAGAAAAGGTTTTTGGCAGCCAAGGGTAAAAATTGAAAATTTTTTAGGAAGAAATAAAGAAAATGAAACTTAACAAATGATAAAATTATTTATTGGGAGACTAGTTCTTATGGTCAGTACTGTATTGCATCATTCCACTACATTAAAAGAAAAGTCCTCGAGTTTTGTGTTTTTGGAATGTTGTTGTGGTAGGAAGGTTAATCTTGTTGGAATTGTCTTCGATCTTTTTTAGTTTTAGGCTTGCTATGTGTGCCCTCATGATAATGATTATCTCGAAGATATTCTTGGAGAAAATGGCAGTAGCAAGTTGGACTACATCCACATGACCAGGTAATTTTGTTTGCAAAAGCAATAAAGCAAGGTAATAGATATGTGCTATTCTCTCATCAGTTTTGGCGGTCTTCTCTTTTGAGGATGGCTAGGCCTAAACTGATTTTAGAAGTACCGTTCAATCTTATGCATGTCCATTTAGATGTTCCATCCAATGTTAGGCTTGGTGAGAAGATTTGCATGCTATGAATCTGAGCTGGATCTTGGCAGATTACACACTGCTTGATAACTTACTGTAGGGCTTTTTCCAAAGTTATACCTTATGCTTGATCAGCTAATCTGAGATTTTGTTCTCCAGATCCATTCTTCAGGGAACAGTTTTCTTTCCAAATTTCTCCTGAATGATCTCAACGGATGCAAACCCTGAAAAAACCACCAAATGGGTTTTCCTCTGATCATAACCTTTACTTGAAACTGAGATGAGTGGAGTTGACCAAAGATAAATATTTGAATTTAAAAGCAATGAAGGGAAAAATTGATGGGAGCCAACTCTTATTTCATGATCTGGTTATACCATTATCATGACAAGTTGGTTAAATAAAGCATTAAGGAATGCTTAGCTTTTATAGGATATATTGACACGGTGCGGGACTTCTCCCGCGCGGTAGAGTCAACAGACTGTGTCCCTCCGGTTTAATTGAGGGCTGGTCCAGGAGGAACGCAGGCTGAGCGACACTGTTGAAACTGTCACTCGTCCCATCCTCCTTCCTTTTCATCTTCTCCTTCATGTAGGAGCTATTTATTTGCTCTTTTCAGAGCTAGGGTTAGTTTTTCTTGTTGTGCGTTGGTTTCAGATTCCTTTATGTTATTGTTCTCCCTGTTCTAGGGCTTATCCAAGGAGGTGGTGATGTTTCGGTTGTATCTTTCTCCGAGGTGGTATTGTATCCTTCCTTATTGCCTTCCTTAACATTTCTCCTCCCCTCTTCTCAGCCACCGGTCTCCCTGTTCCCCATTCCAACACCCAACCATCCTTCCCCCAAGAGCATAACCTTGTTGTTCCACTCCCCATCCTTCATCCCGGTAGCAGCCGCCGCTTTTCTGCAGTAGATCCGGTTGTTCAACCACTTCCCCTTCGTCCTAGTCCCCCCAACGACCTCCCAAATCATCACCAAATCCCTTCCTAATTGACCTTGCAACCACTAACCCTTCCCCATACCTTCACCCTCTGATCGGCGCCACTCCGCCCTCAGATTTCTCTTTCAGCCCCAGCCGGAGATTTGTTTGTTATTGTGTTTTCTCTTTTCGTTTGTGGTGGGTTGTAACCCTACTTCAGTATTAATAAAAGTTTGTTTTTTGTATTTCTGTTGAATTCCACCTAATTTCGGTATCATTTGGTATCAGAGCTAGACTAATCGTTGTCCTATCATAGGATTTTCAGGCATCAACTTTCTCTGCCACTAAATTTTTTCTTACCATTCCCAAACCATAGCCCAAACCCCAAATTCTCCTTTATTGATTTTCAAGATCTGCGAAACTAAATAGTTTTTCTATACCCGCAATCAATCGCATCCCTCTTTCACCTCCACCCAACAATTTTCATCGCAAAATCCAAACCCAAACCCAAACCTGAGCCATGCCACCAAAGTGGAATATGCCCAAGCTTACCTGGGAAGAGATACGACGAGAGTTCTGTCGTGTTTAACAAAGGTTTGCGGAAATTGAAGGGTTAACACGGGAAGAGGTCACCCTCAACCGACTTCTGGAGAGTCGAAGAGGAGAATAAGATGAGGATTTGAATTCCTTCCATAGGGATAATTTTAGCGACAAAGAAGATAGGCAACGGCGTTTTAGAATCCAATATCAGGGGAAGCCTGGAGAGGGATGTCTGAATCCCTCTCAGAGGGAGACTCGCAGAGAGATGTCATTTGAAGGACACAGAGACTTCGACATCAAGATAGATCTACCATAGTTCGAAGGAGGTATGAATTCTGAGGAATTGATTGATTGGTTACAGGTTGTTGAGTGGATCTTTGAGTATAAAGGTATGCGAGGGGATAAGTGGGCCAAATTAGCGGCAATTAAGCTGAAGAAGAGTGCTTCTCTTTGGTGGCAGAACTTACAGAGACAGAGTAAAAGAGAGGGCAACAATCAGATTACCAGGTTAGAGAAGATGGAGAAATTATTGAAGATGAAATACCTCTCACCTCATTATCGCCATGATATGTTTTTAAGGCTCCATCACCTACATCAGAGTTATCTGTCAGTAGAAGAGTTCACGGAGCAGTTTTGATCATTTGCAAATGAAGTGTGATCTGACAGAGCCAGTTGAGAACACAGTAGCCAGATACCTTGGTGGCCCGAAGCCTAATATTAGCAATGCGGTGCAGCTACAACAACATTGAACGTTGGGAGATGTCCAGACACCAGACCTAAAGGTGGAGAGGCAGTATAAGTAGAGCAGTCAACAATCATCCTTTAGGCAGCAACCTGCAGGCAGGCGATCACCTACAACTACCATGATTGATAGAGGTGCCCCAAGAGACATGTGTAGGCCCAGGCAAGGGAGTGACACTCTAGATCAGAGCGGGAAGAAACAGGAGAAGGGTAGTTTCTTTGACACTGTGTCGGCCAGGAAGTGCTATAGATGTCACGACTATGGTCACATCGCCTCCAGCCGTTCCCCTAACAGAGTAGTCACATATACATGTCAGGGCATCATAGAGGAGGTTAGCGAGGAGGTGACGGTTGAGGATCAGAGCGAGATACTTCATCTTCCCCCAGATGAAGGAGATACACTCATAGTTCGACAGGTCCTCCAGACCGATATTGACACGAGAGATTCGTAGTGGCTTTGTCATAATATTTTCTAAACTCGCTGCACAGTGAACAAAAAATATATGCAACCTAATCATCAACGTCGGGAACAACAAAAACATGGCATCAACTCAGATGGCAGAGACATTGAGGCTCACGACTCAGAGACACTTCCAGCCGTACACACTGACAAGGCTGAAGGATAATTGGATCAACATTGACCAAAGATGTTTGATAGAGTTCTCGATCGGAGGCTAGCTGTAGAACCAGGTGTGTGGTCCTTATGGATGTCTGCCACCTTCTGTTGGGACGACCATGGCAGTTTGATCGAAGAACTCAGCACAATGGATTCATAAACACATACTCATTTACCAGGGAGGGGAAGCACTATATTCTTCTTCCTTCTACAGAGCCTCAAATCCCAGGAACTCCCAGCAGATTGGCGTTAGTAGGGCCGGTTTTAGTGATGACACTGGATGAGAGGACTGAGATACCAACTCCAGACATGGGCCAATTACGACAGAGAGGATTTTAGGGCCACAGTCGATACCGTACTACCAGCTTCACCTCTGGGAGGGAAAGTTCAGGATACTCTCATGGCGCATTAGACTGAAGCGACCATGGTTTACTTGAGGAAGATTCAGGAGTACATGCATGGGCCATAGCCCCAGGGGAGCGGATCGATTGTGACACATGCACGCAAGTGGAGCCGACTTCTTTGATGCTTTGGACGACAGTGTGGTCGATAGTGGGATTTAGGTACAGTCATGATTGGAGACAAGGAGCCTAAAACTTCGACGAATGAGGTTGAAGCTCCCTCAACCACGACAGATTAACGCGGTGTGGGACCTCTCCCGCGCGGAAGAGGCAACAATCCGGGGCCCTCCGGTCTAATTGAGGGCTAGTCCAAGAGGAACTCCGGCCGAGCGGTGTTGGGCGGGATTTTGACGGGGCGAATTTGCCGCTCGCCCCTCCTCCTTCCTTTTTTGCTTCTCCTTCATGTAGTAGCTATTTATTTGCTGTTTTTCTGGGCCATGGTTAATTTTTCTTGTTGTGTGTTGATTTCAGATTTGTTTGTGGAAATGGTCTCCCTGTTTTAGGGCTTATCCGAGGAGTTAGTGGTGCTCTGGTTGTTTCCTACTCCGAGGTGGTGTTGTATTCTTTCTTATTCCCTTCCCTAACCCTTCTCCTCCTTTCTTCTCAGCCATCGACCTCTCCTTTCCCCATTCCAACACCCAACCATCCTTCCCCCAGCAACATAACCTTGTTGTTCCACTCCCCAACCTTCATCTCCACATCAGCTGCCACTTTCTTGTAGCAGATCTGGCTGTCCAGGCACTTCCCCTTTGTCCAAGTCCCCCTACCGTCCTCCAAAATCACCACCTTCCTAACCGACTTTTCAACTACTAACCCTTCCCCATACCTTCACCCTGTGGCCGATGCCATTCCGCCCTCATATCTTATCTTATGGCCTTAGTTGTAAA